CGTCAGAGATGCACGCTCATCAAGGCCAGGCCCCTGGCTGTTCCCGCTGGGTGGCGCTGTTCCCTCCCGCTGTGGCGCTTGGCTGACTTCTGCGTCGCTCAGCTGCAGCATGGGCCACCCAGAGGGAACAGCCAGCATTTCAGCAACAGCACCGCCCAGAGGGAACAGCCAACATTTCAACAACAGCACCACCCAGAGGGAACAGCCAACATTTCAACAACAGCGCCCCCCAAAGGGAACAGCCAGCATTTCAGGCAACTGCGCCGCCCAGCGGGAACAGCCAGCATTTCGGCATTACAGACTCTCAGACACGGGGATACTCTATATATGATGCCATAGTTACCCAATTTCTATCCAACTGACAGCACTTTTAATGAGCAATGACAGTCCAGGGTTTAACTACTAAAACGCATCTCAACAGAAGACCGTTCTAGTGACCCCTTTTTTGTTTTGGCTCCCACTTGTGGGCAACGTGTCAAGCCCCATGTAAATCCTAACTGCACCGTGGGCTGCCCGCAAACCAATGGGCCGTGGGCCGCATGAGTGTTGAGTAACCCTAGTGTAGTTGGTCTAACACCCAGCTACACTGAGAACACCACGAGGCTGCGAGCTGGAGGACAGGCTGGCTCAGAGGGGTGGGGATGGACTATCGGGCCTTTCCCCAGTAGGAGGGACTGGCTCCAATCTGTCTCCAGTATGAGGTCGGCTCAGGAACGTGGGATCGGTGTTGCTGTCTCCTAGCCTGCAGGACCTGACACCAGTGGAACGCTCTGCTACAGGTGGAACAAGCCGTTATCTGCCTGTCACAGGAACTGCTGCTACACCCGGCCCGTGGGAACAGGAAGGATTCTTCTCCCCTCTCTGTAACACAGGAAGCCTCTGTCCACAAAGCAGCTTCTCTTGATTATTGCCTTAGATTGCAACCCAGCCATGGCCTTGTAAAATTGTAATCTTTTATACCAAATCGCTTTCGCACCCATCAAGCCTTGGCCAGGGTGTACCAGCCTCAAGTATGTCAAAAACAGGAAGCCTGCTAACCAACCAGTGGGGCCCTGGATGATTGAGATTCTAAAGGAGCACTCAACGAGGATAAGGTCATTGCAGAGAAGCTAAATGAATTCTTTATTTTGGCCTTTATGACTGAAGATATTGGGGAGATTCCCAAACCCGAGCCAGTCTTCTGATGTGACAAATCTGAGGAATCGTCCCAGATTGAGGTGTCATTAGAGGAGGTTTTGGAACAAATTGATAAACTGAACAGTAACAAGTCCCCAGGACCAGATGGCATTCACCCAAGAGTTCGGAAAGACCTGAAATATGAAATTGAGGAACGATTAACTGTCATTTGTAATCTGTCCTTTAAATCAGCTTCCACACGTAATGACTTGAGTTTAACTAACATCACGCCGATGTTTACAAAGGGCTCCAGAGGTGACCCTGGCAATTACAGACCGGTAAGTCTAATATCAGTACAAAGCAAATTAGCTGAAACTATAGTAGAAAACAGAATTGTCAGACACATTCATGAACATGATTTGTTGGGGGAAAGTCAACAGGGTTCTTTTCAAAGGGAAATTGTGCCTTACTAATCTACTATAGTTCTTTGAGCATGTGGACAAGGGGGACCCAGTAGATATAATGTACTTAGTTTCCAGGAAGCCTTTGACAAGGTCCCTCTCCAAAGGCTTTTAAATAAAGTAAGTTGTCATGGGATAAGAGGGAAGGCCCTCTCATGGATTGATAACTGATTGAAATACAGGAAACAAAGGGTAGGAATAAATGGCCAGTTTTCAGAATGGAGAGAGGTAACTAGTGGGGTCTCCCAATCCTCTATACTAGGACCAATTCTATTCAACTGATTCAGTACTTTGTGTGACGGTACGCCCCGGTATGGCATGCCAGCACCTATTTTCCCAACATACCAGAAATGAACGGCATTTCCCTGCGGAGTGCTGGCACCTATTGTCAGAGGAGACTTCACTGGTTTTTTCCTGGGGCAGCTTAGCTCCCGACAGAAACCCACTTGAGACATGCAGTTCATAAAGGGGCCCCAACCGCGTTTCAGCCCCCAGTGCGCCTTTTGTCCTCTTTTTGTTTGTTTCTTTTTGCTCAACAATTTTCCCCCGGAATACGGGCACCATTTTTCTTACAAAAAAAGCACTGAACTTATTTATAAATGGTCTGGAGAAAGGTGGTAAACAGCGAGGTGGCAAAATGTGCAGATGATACTAAACTGATCAGGATAGTAAAGCAGATTGTGAAGAGCTTCAAAAGCCTCTCACAAAACTAGGTGATGGGGCAACAAAACGGCAAATGAATATTAATGTTGATAATTGCAAAGTAATGCACATTGGAAAACATAATCCCAGTTATACGTACAAATTGATGGGGACTGTATTAGCTGTTGCCACTCTTGAGAGAGGTCTTGGAGTCATTGTGGACAGTTCTCTAAGAACATGCGCTTGACTGGGAGCCAGGGCTCCTGGATTCATTCCCCAGCTTTGGGAGGGGAGTGATGTCCAGCAGTTAGAGCAGACTTACTGACACCAAAGCTTTTAATGCACTAGTATCAAATTGGCCAAATTGTTTAGCTCACTGGGGGAAGCAACTGTCCCACATTGGCCAGAAGGAGTTATAGTAGGCTGGAGGGAGCCTGTGCAGAGTCCTGGCCAATTGGAGAGGAGCTTTAAAGGAGCCAATCAGGGTGTAGCTGGCTGAGGCAGCCCTGTATAAAAGGAACTGCTCCGCAGAGAGGGCGCAGTTAGGCCTTGAACAGGAAGGGGGCAGAGCTGCTTCCCAGAGAGGCACCTTGGGGAGAGCAGGGCTGGGTGGGCGCCAGGGGGCTAGAGAGGGAGGCCCCTGCCTGGTCCCTGCCAGGCTGTGACCTTGTGACAAGGGACGGGAAGGTGCTGGGATCTCAGGGGAAGTGGCCCACGAATTCAAGGCTGTTGAAGGGGAGTTGGGGGGGGGCAGGACCAAGCTGCTGTCAGAGGGTCTCTGAGTAGTGGGCAGGTCTAGGTCCCCCCTTCACCTTGCACCCAATCTTGCCACCAAGGCATGGCCCATACAGACTGGGGCTGGCCCCTGAGACAGAGGGGCTGGGCTTGGAGGCCGCCGAACGTTCACATTCGCAGTGAAACATCCCGTGTTCTTGTCTGAAACAGCTTTGTCTTCACACG